GCCTCCTAATATCAGCACGCTGCGGGTGAGGCCCTCCGCACACAAAATCTGTGTGTTTGAAGTAGGGAATCCATGACAACTGACAGCCTCTCAATAAATGATAGCAATAAGTAGTAATTTCATATTAATAATTATCTAATGATAATGATGGTTCTTAAGGAATGCCAGATCAGTTTCACAAATAACCTATTTTAAAATATTGACACAAGCAATTGATCATTAAATCATGGACCATTTACTAGGTTGTATATGCTTCAAGGCCATTTTAATTTTTCTCTTAGAATTTTAAAATAATAATTCAAATTATTTTAAAATTTTGTTTCAAACATGTTGTATTTTCTCTGACAATGAATTCCTAAACAGGAAAGTCATTTTCACCAGCCCACATCAGGCCTTTACCCAGTGTCTGGAGTGAGGCTGGACACATATTCCACAAGAAACCTGGGCCAGGAGATCGGGTAGAGAAAGAAAAGAAGAAAAAAAACTATTTAAAAATGGAATTGTTCACTGAGAATTTAGTAAGAAGTAGACCAGTGACTGCAAGAATATCTCTGAAAGTCTGTCGTGTTTCTGGCGGTCAAGCCCTTTCAAACAACCCTTTGGAGGCCCCTGTTCTCAGATCCGCCAGGCTCCTCTGCCCATGAGTGCCCCATACCAGAAGGGAAGTGAACACCACGACTATGTGGAATCTCTTTTTAATTTGTAACTTTTTTTTTCTCTAGGAAAAGTGACAGTGATGACTGGAGCTTTTGGCAGCAAGGGAGGAGCTTCCAGTGGCCAGTGGCCAGTATCTAGAGTGGGGCCTGGACAAGGGCCATCTCTGCCTGGTGTGGCCCCATAACCATGGACATGAGGACTTTCCTAGCAGCCCTGTGCCACTCTGGCTCCTGCACACCCCTGGCCCTCATCTATTTCTTTGCTGCTTTATTAGACAGAAGGAGTTCCATTACTGCGACTGGGCACCCCAAATCCCCATCCCCATCCAACTGCTCCTGTTTTCTGACTTCAGTGTGCTTGTCTGCCAGCTGTTCCAGGTCATCCATGGCTTCACTCTGAATTCCTCTCACTGGAGGAACCGCCGGTCTTCCCACATAAGTCCTCTGCCCTGTGGCTGGCCTACTGCTAACACCGCAAAGAGAATGGTCCTGCATAAAGTAGGTCAGCCAGCGCCACTCCTCTCCTCGCAACCTTCAGACACACCCACCCCACTCTGAGTAAAGCCAAATCCTGCAGTGGCCCACAAGACCCTACAGGGCTTCTCCCTCATAGCCAGCTGCGACTCTATCAAGTGTCCACTCCTTTTTCACTCTCTGCCCTGGAGCTACATTATCCCAAAGGACTCTCTGAGGCGCAGCTCCCCAAAATTGTACCTTTGCTAGTTTCAGCAAGCCCCAGGGACTGCACCACTCCAGGGCCTTCTCTTTGGGTCATCCGGGGCCTCTGCCCCCTCCCTGTGAGACAATGCCCACCATTCCTGCAGTATCCAAGTCCCTATGTCTTCAGTGCGCTTTCCTTAGTGCCACAGTCCCCCACCTATCTCTACTGCTTTATTTCTTATAGTATTTCTTATCTGTCCAACTAACATTTGTTTGTCGTCTCTCTCCCATTAGAATATAAACTACCTGAAAGCAAAGGCTTTCTGGCTCCTGCTATAGCCTCAAGACCTAGAATCTTGCTAGCTCCTAGTTAAGAACTCAAAAATATTTGTTTAATAATGAAATTAATGAGTTAACAAATAAATGAATATGAATATACATGAGATCCTCTGATAGGATGAGGTACAAGTTTATTAGGAGTTTCTTGAAGAAATAATGTGAAATGATTAATTTCATCATTTCACATTTTAATGAAAAAGAAAGACATAATATAAAATTTATCGTCTGACTGAGGCTCTCATAAGACATCTAAGGTGGGATTTAAGGGACATAGTAGAGAATCATTTGTGCCAGCCAATTAATTTCTCAGATCTATCACTGAGTCCAATTTTATCAGTATTTTTAAAAAATTAATCTATAGGTATCCTAGTTACCACTCCAAGAAATTGGGGTATAGTAATCAATAACTCAAGGTGCTGTCCTTGTAGAATTCACATTTTAACTGGGGACAAACAGTAAAGAAAGAATCATATAGAAAGCGTAGGAGGTAACAAGTTCATGGAAGTAAATTAAAACAGGTAAGGAAGAGAAAGAGGAATAGGCGGGTGGTCGGGCTTTCCAGACAGGACAAATGGGGAAGTTAGTGTTAAGGAAATGATATTTAAGTAGATGACTAAATGAGGTATGGAAGGAAGCCCTGTGGACAGTGTTCAAACCCCCTGGAAACATCTCAGTGGAGAAGCGTGATGGTGACCTCTATCTAAGAAATAGAGTTTAGACACCTGCCATATAATAGTGGAATTTGTTATAGCCAAATTCCATACACAGTTTTACTTTATGCTTTGATGTAAACTCATGTGATTTATTAAAAAAAAAAAACTACTTTAGCCATTTAATGGCTATCCAAACTTGAATCCATTTCTAATATAAATAGCCCAAAGGCCCTTGCCTGGGCAATGTTTTCTAGCTAATCCTCTGACATTTTCTGGAGCTTACTACACAGGGACAGAGATTTTTTAAAAAAGTAAAGATTCTCACAAGCCTACCCTGGAAAATCCCAAGGTCCTAAACCACAGTGCCTGCATGCCCAATCCTGCTGTATGACCTGAGTAAGAGCTCATCAAAGGTTCATCCATATGAACTGCATCTCATAAATATCCAGTTAGAGCAGATTGAATTATGGGAAAGAAAATGTACAATAGATTCTGCTAACCTGTCTCAATACCTTGTCGATCACATTGTCAACCATGCTCTGGACAACTTAATAGGAGACACTCTAGACCCAGCACAGCATTTTAAATCCCTAAGCGTAAAGTCCTCAGCACCCATGCCATCTACCTTGCACCCCATGAGCCTGCTCATTCTGAACAGGCTGCCACCTGACATTACTACTATTTCCCTACTGTCACATGCCATGTCTAATTCTTTGTTGGTCACGCATAAAACCCTAGGACCCATGGGTGATGGGTCACCCATAGTAACATCACAGACGTTAGTTTAAATCTTAATTGTTTTTATCTCTTTTATTCTAGATTTGGACAAGCAGAATAGATGTACTAAAGTACTAATGTACTAATGGGATGAGCAGAAAGGTTTGGTTTTATAACACAGAAGGACCACTCAAAGCAGAAACAAAGAACAAGAAGTGGTTTGGTCATTTCAAAGTCACTTTCCTTATAAGGCAACGACAAGAAAACAGAGTAATAGAAAAATAACTGATAGGTTAACAACAGGTTATTTTGGTAATGATTAAAGGGCACAATGATTAAGGCAAAGGAAACTCATTATTATCCCAACTGGACAGTTTGGGAAATTTGGTTGTCTCGTATTCTCCTGAGGAAAGTCGGAGAGTAACCTTGTTTCAGTTTGGAAGCTTAATATGAGTGATTCATTTTCATTATTAATTTTTTCTGTCAGATCCCAGCACAGGACCTTAGTAAAAAGCAATGTATTGCTGCAGTTTTTATTTTTATTTATCTTCCTGTAGATTTATTTAATACATACATATCTGAAATTTGGAAAGAAGAATCAGCAGTAGGAGGAGACATCTTTTGTTTTTTTATTGTTGAAGTGAAAATAAAAGGCAGATCGAAGGAGAATATAGCTAGAATTTTTATTTCCAATTTTCAAAATTCTGGAATTTATTTTATTATAGCATTCTACTTTATTAGAAAAACCCTAGTTTCAGTTATATTGTTCAAAATCAAATTCAACTCAGTTTTCAAGATGCTTGGTTTGAGTGAATTTTGAGTGCAATTTACACTCTGTGAGCAGCTATTTTGTACAAAGAATCATGTAGAAGGTGTAACTATCAAACAGCTCTTTCAATTTTTTTCAACAATCGACTATATGACTCTAACCAAGATCCACAGACACTTTGTATTTCATTCTGCAACCTGTGAAAGAGAGTGATGCCCAGTGCTCTGAGCACATAGCTTGTGCCTCAGAGGGAAAATGACACATGGTACTTCATACCCAAGGCATTTACCATCACTTCAACCTAATTCGTGTGTCTTCATGGGCTTTAGAGCATCACCAAGGATGATGAGTACATGGAGGATGTAGCATTGATGTGGGGACTTCTGAGAAGGGACCTTTGAAGTACTCTCTTCTTTTGACCTTTTTATGTGCTGGATATAGATATAATATCCCCAGGGCCACTTGATTCCAAGAAGTGACATACTGAAGGAAAGAACAAGTCTGGAGAATGCTGGATCCAGACACTGGGAATCTACAGTGCCAGCCTCTGTCATTCATCCCTCATCTGAGAAAGAGATGTCCCAATCCTTTTGAATCTACCTATTATAGGTAATCGTACCTTATCCCAACAAGTGAACACACCTGTGATTTGAAAGTATTTTGGTATTTAAAAGATCCCATGTATGTTTCCTCATTTCACTTCTACAAATATCTAGTGAATTATCAGGTAAGAAATGTAATCTCCCTAATCTGTCAACCTAATCTTCTAAGAAATGAAGTAACCAGTGTGTGGTCAAAATACTATAAGTAAATAATAAGGATCAAATAAGAGTTTAGTATCTTGTGTATATGCAGGTACATGCATACACACACACACACAATACATAGGCTTTGGCTTTAGAAAAACCTAACTTGGAATTTTTCTACCTATCTCTTGTTGTCTTATGTAAATTACCCACCGATTGTGATCCTCTTGACTTATCTGCATGGTGGATAAACAATATGTGTAAGGGACTATTTTCCAATGGAAATAATATTAGGGTCCATAATAGGGTCCAGGTTTTGGGTTTGGTACATAGTAGATGCTTAGTGAATAGAGTCCTATGTTTATTCTTCTACAAACTATGCAGATAAGAGAATAAAGAAATAGAAATTACAGGTCAGAGTAGAAAACGTGCTCTTACTTGGAGTTTTCTGTGTCTGTAATGAATTTGAAAATTTTTTTATTTCTGACCAAGTGAGTCTGTTGATCAAGTTTATTAAGTTCTCTGAACACCTTAAAGATATTTCTTCCCATGTCTTCAGGGGGATACATCATAGAAAATATCTTTTATTTTCAAGTGGTTTGCAAGATGGGAAAGAAGTCATCCAAATCAATTTTTCCAAACCAATTTTTCGATTTCCTTGGTAGAAACAGAAGTGCCAACTGGAATATGTTTGAATTAGTATGTGGTCCTGAGGTAGAATTTCAAGGAGAATCATGAACTTCTCGAGGAGCTGAGATTTATGAATTTCTTGACTGGGCATTGTAGACAGGTTTGATGCGATATTGATAGCTGATCCTTCCACAAATGGAGAAAACACATTGCACAGATAACTTGTTTTGTACAGTTTATTTAGCTTACAGTTTTTAGAGGTTTTGGTTCATACTCAGCTCGCATCAAGGCAGAGTGGCACTGTAATGTGATACAGATTCTGTCTTAGGAGAGACTCAGTGCAAATTACAAACACATGGAGAGTCAGGGTAATAACATCAATCAGCACGTGTGGCAGAGTGCATGACACTTCTGAATCTGTCAGAAATGACAAGTATTCTTCCATTTACAAGTATTTTCTTCTTTTCAAACTCAACTGGATAAGTTAGGGTTTTCTTCACTTGTATTCAGAGAAACAAAGTAAATAGATCAAATAATTACTACAGTTTTTGTAACAGTATTTGGTAGCATTTGTTTGATGCAAAGGACTCTGGTAATTCAATCACACGTCTAGCACACACCCCGCACTATGAAGCGGCAGGAGAGCCCAGAAAGGCAGCTGTTGGAGTGATGGCACTACAGCTCAAGGCTGACATTTCCAAGGTGGGGTTTGATTACAGTTAGCAAATTGGAATCAAGGACACGGAAATGAAGTGCAGAGATCAGGAAACATTAAGAGACGAAAATAACAAATTGGTGAGGCAGTCTCCATCGCATCCTCATGTAGGCAATGAGAGAAGTAGGCTGATGATCTTGCTGAGAGGCTTCCCTGCTTCCAGCAGTAAAATCCACTTTCAGACCTAATCAAGTTGTGATTCTTCATGGCTCAAGTGCCAACCTGTGGGGTTCCTCTGAAGTGTCTTCATAAGTTTCCTTTATGAAGCCTTTATGCCTAAGAAAAGATGAGCAACACATAATCATACCTGTGTACAATAATACGTGCATGCTTACGTTTAATATGCAGTGACTTGCAAAGCACTTTGATATATCTTGTCTCAATTAGTTTTGAGCACAACTGTAACATTCAGCCCACCTGCTCTTCCTACTAGTTACTGTGGGCTGAGTACAAAACAAGTTATCCGTACGGTGTCTCTAGAGAGGAAATTGGCAAGGAAGAAATTAGGCATTTTGGTTACCTTTCTCTTATTGCTGATGAAGGAAGGAAAGATTTATTTAGTTTACAGTTTTTAGAGGTTTCAGTTCATACTCAGCTAGCATCAAGGCAGAGTGGCATGGTTAAGGAGCAGGTGTTCTTGCCTGCCACAAGCCACAGAGCAAGAAGAGTAAAGAAAAGAAAGCAGGCCTCCTTCCCTCCCTTATACTGTGTGCTGGCTCTCTGCACCCGCTGTGCTGATGTAACACTCATACCTCCAATCTCACTGCTAGACAATGAACCAATCACAAACCCTAGACTCAGCTCCCCTTGAAAGGCCCGCCCCCCATGACTGCATGAGGCTTTGGGGGGACATTTAAACAAATCACAACATTAGAAAACATATTGTATATAGTATATATGTAGGGGATGCGAAAGAAGCAATGAATAAACACTAGTCCAAAGATGCATGGTTATTCTACCATTTATTTCTACTTTTTGGCATTGGGTAAGTGAAAACATCTTTAGATCTTTGTTTGGTCATATGCAAAGTTGGTCATATGCCATCCTGGGTGAACTCCTTTACAATGTTATATGTGAGAAAATCTTTTCTAGCTTGGAAAATGCAAAATAAATGTTCTAATTTTCTTTCTGTACTTTTTCTAACATCCATGGCATTAACCTCCACGGGAGCCTCAGTCTATTGAAGAGTAGAGAAGATAAACGTTTTGCACAGGAGCCTGTTTCAGTATGCTTTGAGGCATTTTACATTTCTTGTAATCAAAACATATAGCCATTTGTCTGGCAGCCAGATACCTGAATTACAATCTGGTGACACTTTATATCAAGAGGAAATTCAGGTCCTACAAATCTTTTATAAACAAAATTCTTTTAGTATTTCGTTTTATTTATTTATTCATTTGCAGTAGTGGGGAATGAACCCAGAGGCCACCACATAATAGGTGAGTGCTCTTACCCAGCTCTTTTTTTTTCTATTTTTAGACAGAATCTCACTAAATTGTCCAGATTGGACTTAATCAGCATTTTTGAACCCTGAACCCCAGTTTTTCTACCTAATCAGAAGTTCCAAGCTTAGCCCTAAGATTCTGTGGTTTTTTGAAAAAGCACACTAGTTGATACATGTATGCCTACTAACCCAAGAACCCAGAATTTACTAGCTGAAATTTGCAAACTTGTAAAACATTTCTTCTTCATTTCTTTCCAGCATAAACAAGATTTCTCTATCAATAGTGTATTAAAAGCAGATTCAAGTGCTCTTATGAAATAAAAGCAGTACTCCGTGTGAGAAATTTGACTGCATTTTTGAATGCACTTTGAAGTAATGTTATCTCAGCTTTCTTTAATTGAACGCTGCATTCACAAGAGAAGTTTGAGAAATATATTCTATTGCAGTGTTATTTTTGGTCTCTACTCAAGAAACAATCTTGTAAGCTCTTAAATTGATAACTCACTAGTCATTCTCCGAATTAGGAGGCCTCAGCTCATTGTAAGTAATGATACTAAAATCCCAACGTGTTTGGAATCTGAAATGGATGATGAAATAAAAGGGAAAAGAGTTTGTTTCTGATGTTTAATGAATACAGAATAACACAATGTAATTCTGTATAGGCATATTATCAATAAGATACATAGAAACACAGAACTGAAGGGGATTAATCATTACAAATTTACTGCACGATGATTATGTTTCCAGAAATGACCCAAACCTAAGGCCAGAAGAGTATGCAAAATGCAGTTTCCCAAGCACTTACATTCAAGCAGGGAAGAAAGAAATAAAGAAGCTAACATTTGATATTGCTAGTATACCAAGTGGAATGTTAGAAGTTGATAAGAATGATGAGAAAATTTTTACTGTGAATCTCTAATGAATTTTAAAATTTCAGGAACTGCAGAAACAGAAAACATGTTTATAGCTATCTTTATGTTAGGGTAAATAGCTATAGTTATGATTGATCTCTTGTTTCCCAGAGGCACAATCCTGTCCCTTTGTCATTCCTGACCTTCTTTCAGAATTGTACCCTAAGCAATGAGGCGCAGATAAAGCAGCCAATAGGGAGATTTATTTTCTGTTCTCTTTTAACACTTCTAATTCAGGCAATCAAACCAGTTTGACGCAGACAGAGCATGAAAGCCATTCTCCGGAGTTCATCCAGAGTCTGTGGTTATTCAGGTAGTTTGCGAGACTGCAGAGCTAATCAAAATGATATTCTATTTTTATTTTGCTGTGGTATTTATATTTAGAATTGTAATATAAAGCTCTGTTGCACAAAATATTATTTAAAAAACATGCTGCCAGTCTGTGCCTATGAAATCCTTGTTATTTGTTATTTTCCCAAAAACAAATAAGAAAAAAACAAAAGCAAAATAGAAAACAATATAATAAACCCACTCACAGCTATGTACTTTCCTTTTCTAATTTGACATCATTTCAGACCAAAGTGAAGAGACCTCTTTTTCAATAATCAATCAACACAGAATGATATCACTATTCACATCAAAATGAGCACGGTAGAGGGTTTGACTTAGTTTTTTAAGTCTTTCTTCAAGTTCATGCAAAAATTTTTCCCTAGGGTAAAAATATGCTAATATTAAGCTCCTCGGGGATTAACTAATTAGCTACTCACTATAGCCACTGGCATTTTAAAATACAGGATATCATCTCCTTCACTATAAAAATGGTTTCCATTTTTGTCATATTAACGTTATTCCACTGAGCAGTGCTGTTTGAAGAAATCCCAGAGTCATTCGAGGTATAAATTGTTCAGCAGCTATGTAGAGGTGGCTTGGAATCATATTTGAACTTGAGCAAAAACAAATTAAGTCGGTGAAAAAACTCCTTAGCTTCTGGTAACAGTAGGGATGTCCATTTTAAAGCCAGATAAGTATCAAGCAAAGTAATAGGACAGCTAAGAAAGTGATAGTAAAAGCCAGCATTTCCGGGAACACTCCCAGAAGCAGGAACACCAGAACTTTATTTGGATATATGAATCACATATTTGAAGAGGCCAGTGTCCCAACTTCAGCTTCTTGGCAGAAACGTCAGCTGAGTATGCACATAGCACTAGGAGATGACAGCAAATAACATTTAGGCAAGCAATCCATCGCCCAGCTGCAGGGATCTTGCCACTCCTAAGAGCAAACAGCAGTGGCAGTGGGAAGACAGCCTGGCTTGATGTGAGGAGAGAGGAAGGCTGGAGTTTTCAGGGTTTTCCATCCTTGCATGTGTTTAAATATATAAGTGAATTTTTCAAAGTAGATTGCAGCTGGATTTTCCCTGAAGCTTCAATGTTAGGAAATAGCCTGCTAGCAATAGTTTGGCGTGTTTAGTTAGTGAACCTCAAAAGCTTCAACTGGAGCAAAAGCAGTAGCTTGGCAGAGTCCCCTTGTGCTCCTCTTCTCCCTCTCGCTGGGTCTTGAGCTACTCTGCCAAACTCTCCTCCTGAAAGCACTGTTTTAAGGGAGAAGAGGCCATTCACTCTGAAGAGAAACAGCTAAGAAAAGATCAGCTCACGGTAGCCAGGACACTCCTATAATTTAGAGCTATGCCTTTGGGCCTAGAAATCTGCAACCAGAAATGTGTTTTTTGCTGTTGTTGCTATGTAAACTTAGTTTTTAAAAAATCACTGCTTTCACCCACCATTTAGCTGTGAGTTAATTTAGTAATAATGCGGTGCTTTTCAACCTGTGTTACTTCAAATAATTGCTTATATTTGCTAACATGCAGAAGGCCCAGAACTGCAGAATCAGAACAGCTTGTGTGCTTTTCCATGAGCCATCTAATGTATTTTCCTTATGTGACTATACTAATTTTCCATTAAATAAAGGCATTGCCCAACCTACAATGCTAAGCATGTGTTAGACTGGAAACCATTGTGTATAGTGATCTTTTCTTAAGTATTATTTGAATGAAATATCTTCCATTATTTAACAGAAAAAGTTGGATGCAGAAAATTATTTTGTCCCAGATACGGCGGCACACTCCTGTAATCCCAGTACTTGGGAGTCTGAAGCAGGAGGATAGCTGTGAGTTTGAGGTCAGACTGAGCTACAAAGTGAGTTCAAGGCCAGCCTGTACTACAGAATGAAACCCTGCTCAAAAAAGACAAAAGAAAAATAAAGAACAAAAGAAAGAAAGAAAACTATTTCACATGAAGCCATGGCATTTTTTTCAAAGGTTGTTTTGCACCTGCATTTTAGGAGTTACACTAGTTTCTTGCCTCACTGTTCACTGCCTTGGCTTGTGTTTGAGATAATTTTATCCCATCAGCCAATTCCAAGCAGGAGTGAGACACATTCAAGCTGGCATTTACTCTGCCAAGAAGATAATCCCCTCATGACTGGTCAGCATTTTCATTCCCAAGAGTCTGACTTTCAGAAGCAGTGGCTACTTTCAATTTGCACAGAATAATCTTAGAGACAGATAAAATCTCACTTTGGGGTGTCTTTCTTGACCTCTACATTAACTACAGTTTCTAGCTTTCCTTTTCCAACACGAACATTGCAAATCTGTGGCTCTTCAAAGTGCTATTTAGTTCCTAAAACATTTGGCATCAGAACCCTATTTGCATAATTCTATTAGAAGGTTTATGCCTTAGCTTTGAAAAATATTTGAAGAAATACGATTTGGGGAAAAAAAGTCTTATCTTTTGGTCCAGAAGGTGCTTGGTAGAACTAAGCTTGTTAATGTTAGGATTGCCTGGTAAGTACCAAAACTGAAAGAAAAAAAAAAAAAAAGACCAGAAGGTTTCTTTTATCTCCAGTCCAAGTCTGCAGTAGTT